CATCAATCACAAATGCTACAGTAATTTGGAAAATTTGCAATAAGAGTACTAAAAATAAATTGAAAACAAAAGATTTTTGTAGAGACATTAGCAGGAAATATTTGTTGCAATCGAAATTAGGCGATTTTAAAACTCATAGATTCGAGTCAAGAACAAGATTATTATGTAATTTTGAAAAATGTCGTCAAAGGACTACAAGATTTTGCATTGATTGCGATATGTATTATTGCTTGCGTTGTTTCTCTCAATCACACTCTGAAACAGCAGGATCAAATTGATTTCAATTGACGAATACTTGAAATTTTCAAAAATCTCTAAAAAAAATATTAAAAAAAAATTAAAAAAATATAAAAATACTAAAAAAAAAGAAAAAAAAAGAAACTATCGAGATTCGTCGACCTCCACGTTGGTGATAGTTGGGCAACGTAAACTCTGTTTGCGGCAGACAGACGATAGATATACATATGCACATCAATCATCTTCAACACCTTTAGATGATACCAGAAACCGCGGGAATTTTTTGCTAAATTGGGTGCACTTTTCGAAAAAACACTCAAGAGTAAAAATTTCTTAGAATCAGCCAAGAAATACACCTGAATTTTTCCGGGGCGTTTCGTGCAATTTTTTGAATTTTGCAAAAATTAGTTATATGCAAAATTAAAAAATTTGCTATAAATTCTTTGAAAAAATTCAGACGTATTTTTCAGCTGATTCTAAGAACTTTTTACTCTTGAGAGTTTTTTCGAAAAGTGCACCCAATTTAGCAAAAAAATTTATGAATATTTTGAAAAAAAATTGCCGTTAAGGGGCCATTTTGGAAATAGGAAAACGAAAATTCGATTTTTGAATCATGGATTCTTAAAGTTTAGACATTTACTCCACCGGTTAGTGAGGTCCCAGGTATACTGCAGACTGGGAAACCTTTCAAAAAGCGATCACAAAAAAAAAATACGCACGAAAAATCACGTTTTTTTTTGTTTAAACTGCATTTTGCAATAAATAATCATTTTAGGGGGAAATTTTATTCACACTATCGGATAGAGGAGATCTTTATCAATAAAAATGTATGTATCTCAATTTTTTCTAGTTACGAATAGTATTAGTTATTGGCCGTCGAAGAGCAGTGTACCGGTAGTGGCGTTTTGGGTGTTTAAGGGTTAAGGCGACGGTAGTCACCGCAGATCCTCCAAGAATTATCCTCCCATATGCCCTGCTTGGCCAAGACGTCAAACTTGGCCTAGGCGGCTTTAAGCTTCATTGTTTGGAGGGTCAGTTGTTTCAATACAGTGCAAAATGTCAATGGAAGTTATAGGGTTAACAAGATTAGCACCTGTAACCTCGGGATAATCGCCTAGAACTTTCGAAATATCTGAATTAGGTTTGAGAACACTGACCCGAGAATATTCTGTAAACATGACATAACCAACACTGAAAGTGTTGGAAAAATGGTCGATGGCGCAGGTCAACAGTAAGACTATGATGAAAGACGGCACCGATAATAGGGTAGGCTACGTCCGCGACTTTGAACCTCCATGTGAAAGGACGTTTGAATCTGAGATTAAGAGTTAGATCTTTTTTTCCAAAGGTTTGAATTGGAGAATCATTGACAAAATAAAGCTGAAAATTGGAAACCTTTGAACAGGGCTCATCATTACGAACTATGGAGATTTCAGCTCCAGTATCAATAAAAGAGGGTATGCCCTGGATCGCTGCCTCCATGCGAGGAAGGGCACATAGTTTTCTGCCTTGAAAGTCTTCCAAGAGCATTTCTCTTTGCAGAATTTGACTTTGTTACCAAATTGCTTATGGTAAAAGCAATTCTTATCGCTGCCTTTGTCGCTGAAAAGTTGCCTCTGTCTACCAGTAGATTGAGAGCGACTATGGTTAAATTTCAAGGCTTTAATTTTCGCTGACAAACGAGCCACATCACCGATGAGTTTAAGAATTAGTACATCTGAATTCATTTGAATAGCAAAAACCTGAGAAATATTAGGAGAATTTCCTTCCATAAATTTATTGGCGGCCTCGGTCATGGAAGTAACATAATTGAATTCAGTGATGGAAAGCACTGCGCAGCATTAAGAAGTCAGTTGATCGAGAAAGAATGAGCAGAGAACGTTATCGGCACAGGTGGTTCTTAATGATTTAATCCTGTCTAGAATAAGGAAGGGGTTGCCCTCAGGTTAAACCTGTCCGCGTAACAATTGCCTGAGACGAGATTCCTTCAACCCACCGAAATATAAAATAATTTTTGTTCTAACATGCTCAAAAAGATCAGAAGATCTGGGGATCTATTCGAGAAAAGAAATTAGATTAGCAAGCAAATCTGAGTTGAGCTTCTCTGCAATAAACTCCGCTTTTCTAGCTGAATCTGTCATTTGTGCATTTCGCAAGATAATTTCAGCTTAGGAGAACCATATTATCGGGTTTTCCCGAGCAAAATTTGGGCTTTTAGGAGTACGGTATGTGACAATGTAACTGGACGATGAAAGGCGCACTGATGCGCGACTGAAGTACAGGAACAGGAGTAGCAGAACTCGGAGAGATATCCGATGCACCGACAATACCAGACGTTAAGCAGTAACTGGATGCGGCGAGAATGCCATCAGTTGAATAGCGGCTGAAATTCTTCGATGAAACTCGACGAAGTTGCGAAAATGCAAAGGTCACTTCTAATGTGAAATCCACAGTGGCGACGATTGCGAACCGATAGCAATGATGCGGCAGTCCGAAAGGCAAAGATTCTGCCTCCACTCCTGGAAGAGTTCCTCCTATGGTCGGGGTCACCAGTATGGGTATTTGGCGCGAAAATCGACCGAGTTGGAATACAGATACACTGATGTAGCGTGGTCCGGTGGGAAGTAAAAAGGGGGCTCGACAAATAATTACGTCCTCTTTGAAAAAGAGAAGAATGTTTATTAGATCAGAGTTAACAATGTCGCTGCCTACTCGATAACTGCTCTGAGACGACCCTTCAAGTCGGCGGACAGAACGTTACTGAACGCAGAAAAAGAGGAGCGAACGCTGGAGTATTCTTTGACTTAAGGGGAACGAGCAAGAGAGGGGATAGATAACTTCTGACTATGGCTCAAGCCATCTAAATTCCCCACATGCTAATCTTAGCTATCCCACCTATCTTCAAACACGAGTACATACTTATTGATCCATCTGCGTAGTTGCTTAGTTCCATAAAGGCATACTTTTGTATTTTTAGAATTGTCATACTAATTCACAATATATCAACATACAGTGACCTTGAAATGACATTCGAAGTTGTCATTAAAAAAAACTATTGTATTTTAACGTTAAATTTTCAGTACTTTCAAAATCTGTAGTCAAAATTTAACTTTTCCATAATATGCACAATTTACCTTGAAATGACTTTGATGCAGACATAATGAGATCAAATAGACTACCAATTCAGATTGAGTAACTCTTAAAACCATAGAAATACTAGTTAAATTCTTTTAAATGACTTTTTTCGAATTTGACTTTCAAATGCCCTTGAACCTGACGTGCTAGGGTTGGGTTAAACTGAATGTGTGTTCGAATTTGGCGTGTTAAAATACATGAGAATATATGTATGTCGTTTTTGATAAAGACCACTTTTTTGGGTGTCTGTGTAATCGATAGGACTTCAAGAGATTTTTCAAAATGTGATGACAAACTTTTCGGTGATTATTACCACCAGTTGTAAAATATAGTTACAGAATTTTGAGAAAGTTCGCGGAGCTCCCCAAAATACCATAAATAAAACGAGCACTTTAAGGAGATTTCCTCAAAGTGTCTTATCTTAATTAAGTAGTTTGAAGAGGTCTATAAATTTGCTTGTTTTAACTAATATATTAATTTATATTAAAATATATTGTTTTAACTAATATAGATTTCGTCGTTCTTCTCAACATTGTTTTGTTAATTACCAAGGACAACGCCTAGTAACATCTTGTTGTTATTCTTTTTAGTCAGTTTTACGAGTTGATTGAGTAAACTGATTTAACCAATAGAATTATTCTTATATGTTGATTTTTTCAATTAAAGTTCTTTTATATAAGATGTTTTCATTATTTACGTGAGTTTATTAAATTTTGAGGGCTCGTCCGAGATTCGTATCTGAAGATCGCAATGTGCGTTCCAAATGTCGATGTCCATGTGTCCTGAGTTCATAAGTTGACGCGCAATTAGCTGCGTTCTTCATCGACCCACGAGCCAAGTAATCCACCGTTTAGGGTAATCATTTATTTCGTAAGTTTATTACAATATTACTAGCAAAAATATTTTAGAGGTAATTTATTCGCAATCAGTTACTTCAGTAACCGTCAGAAAGCTCCGTACAACAAAACAAGTGCTTCACCAGTTCAACTTTCTTGCATTTTAAAAGTTACCGATGGATTAAATAAAAAAAATTCAGGAATACTTGTTTAGTCGTCAAGTTTCTAATAGTTTTTTTCACAAACGGATAAGTATTTTTGACTGGTTATAAAAAATTCTAATCTCGAAAGTTATGAAATGAGCAAATCGAATCGTCGAAAGTCTGTTACAAATTTTCAAAATTTAATTTTTTTTTAAATACTTCATTGTTTCTCAATGTTCCAAGAATGTATTATCAAATTTGAAATCTTAATATTGAAGAGAAAAAATTATAGAAGATGTATTAGTGGAACGGCGTCGCTTCAAGGCATTGATGTTGATAACTTTGGAATGCACCGATACCTATTTTATTTAATGAATCAATCGCTGCAGAACTAAAAAAACTTTATTTTGTCAAAGTTTTGCATTAAAGAAGCATCCTATGTTGTTTTTCTAAAATAAAATAAAAAATTTCTTCTTATGGTGAAATACATGGAGGACGAATTAGTCATCAACATATTTTTTAACATTCAAAAAATTAAGTTTAATTTAATTTATATTAAAATCTATAATTTTTGTAAGTATAGTGTGGAATTAGATGTATCTTTAATGACCATGAAAGAATTGTAAATTCAGTAGCTATTAAAGCCTACCCTTCCATAAATTTCAAACAAATGTAAATTAAGATGTAACTGCGAGTAGTGCTCGCAATTCGTAAAGAAAAATATAAGTTGATAGTTTTTATCGATTAAAGTAGAAATCAATTTTAGATCATTATATATATTAATTACTTTAAAAATAAATGTTTGAAAATGATGTTTCAAAAATATTTGAATCATGTAACTAAATTTCCAAACCTAAAAAATATTGTTTTTGAAACATTTTTAAACATTTATTATTGAAGAATCTATAATAGTCAGCACGATCTAAAATTGATTCACAGTCTTTATCAGTAAAATCTATCGATCTATATTTTTATTTTTGGATTGCAAGGATTATATAATCATGCAGTGCAGACACGGCAAAATGGATTGCAAACTTATTATAGATTCTACATCATTTACAGAATAGTACATTTATCTAACCCATATGATAAAATAGGAAAAGTACACCAGATGAGAATTTCTTAATTGAACATGTTGGGTAAATTTTTTTTCAATTAATTTAAGTGGTCGCTTTTCGCTGATCATGCAGGGAAACTTTCCCCACAGTATTAAAAAATGTTTAAAATTTTTGACACATCATTTAAATATTTTAAGAATAATTATATGATTTTGAATAATAAAATATTTTCACTATAAGTATACATTTACTTAAAATAAAAATTAATGAAAATACTTGTGTCATTCTGGAATATCATAATCTTTGAAATAACAATCTTCTGGAATAACAATCTTTGAAAATAGAAAGTAGCAAATTCATTTTCACAAGTCGATGATCGTGTAGTTCTTATCTCGCATATTAAGATAAGTGGCCTGTGTTTCACTCCGAAAATCTAAGTTTTTGGCGGATTTTTACTAATCAAATTAATTACAAATAATGACGTGAATTGTAATAATTTTACATAATATAAAATTTTATGAAAATAATAAATACACCATTTACAAAGAAAAAATTATGTTTATGAAACAATATAAAACTTAAATACAATAATTCACAACAAATTACGTCTATTTAATAAAAATACTAGGCTTCAACAGCATTGCAAGTATGTCCTGGATTGAGATTTATCAATGTGTTTGAATGTTCAGCTAATTCTGCAATACTGACTCTACCGCGCTGCCGAACGAATTTAGCGACAGCTTCCAACTCTACTTGAGATATATAAATGAATTTGCCTCGATCGTCAATAACACCGCTGAGAATGCCGTCAGCCTGCATCTGTTGTACCCTTTCAATGGCATTAGCAGTCTTTAAATTGAATTGTTGCGCCAGATCCTCGAGAAGAACAACTTTATTACGCTTTATGTAGTCGACGAACTCTTGCAGCAGATTCTTTTGCTGTTCTTCATCTTTTTCCTCATATCCTTCTTCTTCGATACTAAAGGCTTCTTTGAGTTTTAGGTACTCTTCGTGCTCGCGCCTTTCTTTTTCTTCTCGAGCAACTTTCTCCGCTTCTTCCCGCCGCTTTTCCTCTTCACGTTCACGCGCACTCTGCCTATCTCGTTCTTCTTGTTCCTGCTGTTCGCACTTTTTACGCTCTTCACGCTCGCGCTCCTCTATAAAAAAAACCAAAAACTTATTTGAAATTTTCAACCGCAAAGCAGTTTTATATCACGTAGATTACATTGTACTGACATTCTCATATTTTTTATTTCATCAGTACATAATTATTTATTATTGAACAAACGGATGTTTTATTTATTTTGTTTTTCCGGTGTGAATTTTGAATATTTTAAATAATCAATACCATCGACTCACTGCTTTGCATTGAGAAAAACCTTAAGAAAAACTATTAAATTGAGAAAAAACTCTAAGAAGACTATAGCTAGTTAACGGAAGAAACAGATTAAATTAGCATATATGTACCTTGTTCGCGCTGTGCCTTTCTCTCAGCCTTGGCCTCTAATTTGGCACGTTTCTTGGCTCCTACTTTGCCTACATCGGCTAACTCGCTTGCGAGAGCTTCGTCGGCTTCATTGTTGCTACCGATATCTTCGTGTTGCAGCTGATCTACGTCCGCAGCCACTGTTCCTCGAGGTCGACGTTGTCGAACTCCACGCACCCCTGCGGCCCGTCGTACCGGTGCTCCACGAATCCTACCTGACGCATCATTTTGACGCTGTGTTTTTTCTACAACATTTCATATATATTATTTTAATTTTTTTTATTTATCACTTGAAATCCCTTTTCACTTTACTGATTTTCAAATATAACTAAAGCTCTACCAAAACAGTCACTATTATCAGTAACTAGCATCAACATTTGCTCTTGCTTTCTTCTTTTTCATAATGTTCAAAAATTGTTCAATTATTATACGGTATTTCCTACAAATTGATATTTAGTTCTATTATGCAGTGTAATCTATCAAAACATTTAATACAGACTATCTGAATAAATTGATGAAATGATTGCTATTAGTAATACAAAGACAAAAAGAAGTTTTGCATAGACAGAATGAAAGTGTAATACAGACACTTGTGCAATACGTGAATATTCACAAGAAATTTTCTTTTTATTGAAGTATTTTCAAGTCTATTCTAACATCTGTTAAACTATTATTTTGAGGTTACCACTGCTAACGTCAGAAATAATTACTATTCAATATATGTTTATAATTAGAACCAGTGTCTAACATTGAAAATATTATCTTACTTGCATTTCGTTTCGTAAGCCATGTGATTCCAATTATTAAAACAAGAAGTAGACATGCAATAACACTTAACAAAACAATTTCCATGTTACTAATAATCAATAGAAAAAATAAAAACAGTTTTCTGCTACATTGATGGAGCAAAGTAATCATTCTGGTGCTGACATCTCTGGGATCTCAGGTAGAACTATAAATAAAGATCAAATTGATGGTTAGTGCTGCTACCTACATTAAAATTTCAATTGTCGAGTCGGCAACCTAAACAGATGACGTGTGTCTTTGCATGTGCTTTTCTGATCGGCTAGTGAATTTAATACTTCATTTAATAATAATTTGTATATATTTCGAAGTTCTTGATTAACTTATTCCTTAATTCATATATAAATATGGCAATGTTAAGAACATTGCAGTATTTGTTAACCCTTAGTGTGATTTTTGAATGCACATCAGGACTCTATTTCCACATTGGCGAAACAGAACGTAAATGCTTCATTGAGGAAATTCCAGATGAAACTACAGTTTTAGGTAACATTTAGGTCATTTTCCATTGAATTTCACGTGAAAATTTGATTAGAATTATTATTCTAATTAACCTTTCCAATTGCTAGTCAACTACAAGGTTGAACTCTATGATCCTAGAAGTCAAGGTTTTATGCCAAGCAGTCCTGGAATAGGAATGCATGTTGAAGTACGTGATCCTGATGATAAAGTTGTTCTTTCTCGAGTATACAGTTCAGAAGGAAGAATATCTTTTACCTCTCACACACCTGGAGAACATGTAATATGTTTGTACTCAAACAGTACTGCATGGTTCAGTGGTGGACAACTGGTATATAACTTTTTTTAATTTATACTTTTAGTATCAAATATTGTGTTTATTTGAAAAAAAATATTTAGGTATGCTTATGAGTAGTCTACATATAAGCAGCAAATAAGACTTGGATATGGATACGACATATTTTTTATTATGCAATAAGTTAAGTTTAATTTAATTTATATTAAAATTATATTTTGTTTCTAGAGGGTACATTTAGATATCCAAGTTGGTGAACATGCTATTGATTATGCTACAGTTGCACAAAAAGAAAAACTCTCAGAACTACAATTGAGAATTAAACAATTACAAGATCAAGTTGTTCAAATTACAAAAGAACAAAGTTATCAGAGAGTAAATATTAAAATTTTATGTCTTAAAAATGTTTTATAATTTTTGAATATTAATTACTTACAATTTTATTTTAGTATAGAGAAGAAAGATTTAGGCAAACATCCGAAAGTACAAACCGTAGAGTACTATGGTGGTCTATCGTTCAAACCATCATTTTAATGGTTATGGGAGGATGGCAAATGCGTCATCTAAAGAGCTTCTTTGAAGCCAAAAAACTAGTGTAGTTTTTCTGTTTTTTTTTAAGCAGCAGATAAACTTTGTCAAATAAATATGGTGTTTACGTTGAATGTATGTAGCAGTATCATAATGATCTGCTTATAATGATGTTATATTTGACAGTTTGTATGTAAAAGAAAATCGTTAATTTATCAACTATGATGGGCGTCACTATTTTTTTTTAACTTCATGTGAGACGCGTAATTGAAATAACTAATTATATTTTTAATGTATATGTTTATTGAACATGTATCATATACATCATACAATCCAGATGAATTAAAAAAACCTTAAGAAATGATAGTAACAACAATATACTTTTTGCCTTAAAATAAATTGTGTGTGCTAATTTGAAATGTATTATTGTTAACACAAATTGACAGGCGCCAACATAAATATGCTAAATGATCCAATAAGATTACGAAAAGTTACCGATGTTACTTTTTTAAAATCAATCAAAAAGTATCTGTACAAAGATATTAGTTGACATAACAAAAAAATTCACTTTTTTTTCTTAAATAAAACTATTAGAGATTATTTAAATAAAATTAAAAATGTAATAAGTAAGGAAAACTGGGACGATTCTATAAGTGTAAAATATTTAAGAAAATATAGGTAATAGTATATATATCGTATGAAAATTGCAGAATCGCGAGATTCTTTTAATTTTTATATTTTATAAATTATGTTGCCTTTAAATAAATAAAATGAACAATTCTGTATTACATTACTTATCGTGAGAATTTACTTGCGATAGATGAAATGACGATAAGAATTTGAACGTTCATTTTCTCATTATCATCATCATCATCAACTTACACAAAGGAAATTAATAGGAATTCGACACGTAGAAAAGTACGTAATAAGCGTGTAAGTGAATCAAGCTCGAACTGCGTATAAAGCGAGACGGCTATCAAGCTCTCAGATTTGGCTGCAACATGGCTACGACGGAGTGCAAAACGAAAGAAAATTCATGTGCGGAAATACTGTCGAAATCACCAGTTTTTAGCAGTGAGGTAGTCAACAATATCAAAGAGCATGATCAAGTCGGTATACCTCTTCAAACTCCATGGACTTTTTGGCTAGATAAGTAAGTAGTTTCATTTTTTGGATTCTCCTCTTTCGTTTCTACTACGCTCCTAGCAGTTCTTTTTCAAACTATCAAATGATCCTTAAGATGGCGCGCAATGTCACTTTTCAAAACATTGTTTTGACGTACATACCAGCTGTTTTCAATACCAACATTATACCGATTTTATTCTATTTTTTAAATTTCGTTTATATTTCTAAAATGATTATTGAAAAAAATAACATTTATTTAGAAATGTTAACGTACTCTGCATATTATTTTTATTCGAATCAAGCATACGAAGTTTTGATTACAGTGTAGTCACATAGATCGTGAGAAAGAATGCCATTTTAATTTTCATTCGTGATATTTTCATTGAATTACAGAGCAATTTCCGGAACTACCACTGAAGAGTACAAGGCAAATTTGAAAAAGATTTATACAATTAGTACAGTGCAAAGCTTTTGGGCTGTTTTCAATCACATCCCAAATGCTAATGAAATGCAGGTGCGTATTTCGCTTATAAAAGAAAACGATTTAGATTTTCATCCAACAATATAAGATAAATATCAATTCATTGTTTATTAGTTTGCATACTAAAATTCTAATACTGTAGTTTAATCATACCATTTAAAAAACTGCTTATTTCGAATTTGTATTCGAAAATTAAGTTCGTTCGAAATAAAAGTATTTCAAATTTCGAACTCGTATTTCCGATATCCCCTAATTTATATACGTCAATAATTTATATTTATCTGAATATTTTATATATATCCATAAGTATTTATAATTGAGTATGAAAATTAACTTGTAGATCCGATATAGTTATCACCTGATGAGAGACGACCGATACCCATTGTGGGAAGAACCTATTAATCAGAAAGGCGGTACATGGCGTTTCAAATGCCATAAAAGTGACACGGTGAGTAGAATTTTATCTTTATGAATCAGTCAGATATACAATATGTGCGTACGAGAAAATAATTTAATGTAATATTTTTCATGTACGCTATTATGCATAGGCGACTGTCTGGAAGGAAGTCATTCTTGCAGCAATTGGTGAACAATTTAGTGACAGCTTAGCTGAAGGTGATGAAATATGTGGCGTCAGCGTATCGATTCGCGACCGAGACGATCTCGTCCAGGTAATGTGCTCACGTAATTAATGGCTTCATTTGGTAAATTATAACGAACAATAATAAATCTCTCGTCATATTTTTAATCTCGATTATGCGTAACATTGTCTAATGAGAACATATTTTACTTCTATTTGATGATTGTCAATTAAATCTTAACAATAATTTGAATTATCGCCATATTTTCAGGTGTGGAATGTTAATGCTTCACTGGCGATGAAAGCTTCTATTGTAGAAAAGGTTCATAGCCTTGTACCTGAAATAACATTTTTAGCAGAATTTTATAAACGTGAGTATGATAAAAATTTATAATTCAGAGCTCGAGGTGAATTCATAAAATTCTCAAGGCAAATTATTGAATAAAAATTAATTTAATGACGTTCTCTTGAAACAGTTAACTTAAAAAACTTATTTTCGTCCTAATTGTCAGTCGATATTCTTTCCGTTGAAAATCTCTAGAAGATGACACATTTATTAAAATATAATTTAACTACACGGATATAATGAAAATATTGATAAAATCATAGCATGTAAACTTATTTACAAATTACTTGGCTATATAAGTATATTATTTTAGTTAATTCCTTGGGATTTCTAAAATAACATTAGTTTTATAAAAAATCTAAAAATAAATTACACTTATAATTGAACGAAATGTACCACGCAAATTAACTGAAGCTATGAAATACGCATTAGAAAGGTAAAATTTAAAAACGAATATCTCATTTTTACATACGGTTCTATTTATGCCAAATTTTTTTACCGCTGAATAGGTAATGAAAAAAAACTTCTTTTCAAAATTTGAGAGAAATCTGAAAAAAGTGATTTTCAAGAGAATATCCTCAATTAAAAACCATTGATAATACGCTTGATCAGACCTTGCTATAATTTTGCAATATTCTTCAGAAAAATATTAAATTTCAGCTCATCAATCACACCATGCATATAACCGGCATCGCTGAGTGCTGTTTTATACAAAAATTGCTTGTTATGCAGCTAAGTTAATCGAATATTACAACAATATTTTCTAAAGCAATGAATGCCAAAACTTAACTACAAATTAATGTTCTCGTAATCATCAAATACTTTTACTGTTTTATTTTTTAGTTTTATATTACCATATAATATTTGTTATTAAGTGTAAAAATTGTCGAAGTATATTTTTATATTTACAAAACTGTTTTGACTACTATATAAAGCCTCATTTGTGGATAAATATAGCGTTTTATCGAACATCCTAGTTATTGTATAAATATACTTTAATTATCAAAGTAAACTTCATACCAATTTGAAAAAAAAATAGTTTTAGAAGTAACTAATATAAAACCTTGTGAAAAATAATATAGTCGCGCACAATTCGACGCAAATATTTGTATCAATGCATACGAAGAGCTCATTAATTGTGACCATGAAATCGAAAAAGATTATCATAGACTTACGTCTGGCGCCAACAGCATGTTAAGCGAGAATTTCGTTTATTAATTAACCGGTCGTACAAGCACAAACTCCAAGTCGAATTTCCGAAACTAAGATATGTTTGATTGGTAAAGCGATTTCGTGACGTTACAAAGCTGGAATGCAATATAACACTGAAAAACAGCTTTATGATCATAAGCTATCTGTCAACTTGTAACACGTGCTTTTTCGAATAATTGGTAAACAAATTATGAGAACCAAACATGAGCACATATATATATATATATTAATCATATGATCATATAGGGCTTTTTATCAAAATTTCCGTAAGCTTAGAGTAATAAATTATAGTCATCGATATTATTGATATTATTTTGTTTCTTATAAAATATTGCAGTGCTTTTCTATACCGGCAAAGCATTAGTAAGAATTCGTCATCGTTTGAGAACGTAAAAATTGGCAAAAATCAAAGTGATGAAAATGTGTGAAAAGATTAGCAGCATTGCAAATGGCATGTAAATGTAATAAATAGTTGTCTAAAAAAGAGGATAAAAAAGGATTATACGATATTTTTTAAGGTATAATAGCGACGCAAAGATGAGGAAATGATTTACATAAGCAGTTTGATGTTCGATCAACCAGACCGGAGATTCCCTCGAGTGAATGTACTACGCATCGTCGCTATACACAGGAGATATTTTACTTTCAATTATGTATTCTTGACATTTATAAAATTGCTTTTACTACTACTTGAAGCGAAATAGCGAATAGTCACAAGAGCTCGTTATCGAGTTTATGGGAATGACCATCATGAGCTTTATGTATACAAGTTGTTTATTAATTATTCAAAGTGTCCCGACGTGGCGGCACAAGAGAATTGCTAAGTCTTCAATGCTCGGCAAGAAATTAATCTTGGCTGCTGACAGATGCCCGAAAGCAGGATGGCGCCGAAGCGACGTTTTTACGGCTGTTCTGGTCCCAATATTGACGTCATAGAGGCCGCGCGGAGAGCGCTGGCCGAAATCCGTGGAAATCAAAACAAATTTTTAATTCAGGAATCTTGTATCCGTTAAAGTTGCTCCTAAATTATATTCGCGCGAACTTGCTTCTACACCTTGGCGCGCTCTTCTCGTGTCCGCGTCGTCGACAAATTGAAATACATTTTTTGCCATCTGACGCTATGGGCATACCCCCGCAAAAAAAAATACATCCTCTTTCACAATGTTATACTTGATTCGTGTAATTTAATTGATAATATATTGAAACCTTACCCTGTCTCTTTGAAGCTATTTAGGCTCGTTTAACCAATTTTCAAATTTTTAAATTTTTGAACAAGTTAAATCATTGTGATTCTAAAAAATAATTTTTTGAATCAAAAGTATTTTTTTTTCTTTTGCTACTTAGCTAAAAAATATTTACTTATTTCGGGAGGAAGTATAAAATGTTGCAATTTTTAAACCTCTTTTTAATATATTTTGGCCCACAGTTTCCGAATGATTGGATCCTCGGTCGACCCTATACTGACGTGAAAGATTTTTTGTCGCAAAAAATTTCTTCTCGTTACAAGGGGATATTTACTTGCTGCAAGACGGTTTATTAGAGAAAAAGCAACATTTTGTCTGAGTATTGTAAGAGGATTTGTTATCTGAGTTTACATCCCCTTATAAAAAGGTGATAGATGCCATATTGAACCATTTTATTCGTGATCTAGTTCGTTGAGATATAGTCACGTGGTGTACTGTTATGGCAGCAAATATGCGTGTCAAAGTGGTTTCGAGTTGAGATTTTAGTAATGAAAATTTAGTTTATCATAATTGATACGGAGAATTTTGAAGATAATGAAAATAAAAAAAGCAAGCTGCAATGTTATTATTTTTACATTCATATCATGAAACTAGCAGCGATTAAATTGTTTAGTCAAAGTGCGAGGTGATTATGCTTGAAATTATTCTGATAAACTGATATTTGAACGTCTAAGATTGAAAAAAAATGTTGCTATATCGTAATCTTTACTAAAAGAGTAGGATAAATGTTTAATAGTAATTTAACCTGTATAACTGAAAAGAACTGTAGAGATTGTTTATATCAGTTTTCGATATGGTAATTCCATAATTTAGAATACGCGGAACTGTTTTACTAATACAAGTTTTCTACTGTGATATGTGTTTTGTAACAAAAAATGAAAAGTCCACCTTTGAAAAAAGGGATGTATTGCGTTAAATATGTTAATTAATATGACAAGAAATGAAAAAGAAGGTGAAAGTGTGCGAAGCGCGTCAGACGTCTCTACGCTATATGTAGTGTATAAATGTTTAGGCATGTTTGTTACATTCTTACGAGTGTAGAGATTAATAATTGAGATTAATAATACTTACAATCGTAGGAATGTAGAGATTAATAATTAATATATTCTGAAGAATAAAACTAATAAACTGATAGTTATTTTAAATAAAACTTATATAATAAGAGACATTCTTTTATACTTAGAACTTTTTTCCAACGAACTCAAAAACGTAGTCTTTTGATAACAAGATAACGGTAATTTTGAGCAAATCCTTTTGAAGAAATAAAGTTGCCTTTAGTTGTAAGGGCAATTCTATTTAGTAACCGAATCAAGAACCTTTTCCTCGGTGCACAATCAATTCTTTCAATATATTATTTCTCAATTATCAATGTGCACCGATGTAAAACATTGGTTTTTACTTCATCCATCATAGATATTTTTTTATACTTAAAAATAGTATTGGCAATCCGAGCCGTAAGTCATTTTGTTAAGTTTGAAAATCAATTTAATTTAAATAATCTAAACAATTTTGTTATCAGTTGATTCAGATACAGCTTGCAGTATTTCGATAGAAAAAGCCGAACTCAGTGAATTTTCCTTTTGCACAGTATTAGTTAAGGTTTAGGTTCAAGTAATTCTAAGCCACGTGATAACTTCGCAATGAAAGTGCGTCCTTGCCTCTTAACGGTCTCTTATATAATACGCGTAGGTACGAATCTGTCGGGGGTCCACAATCTCTCAATCAATAAAATAAGAGAACTGCCCAAAACATCGAACTGTTTAGATGCTCTGGTGTCCTGAAGCTATCAGCTGATTTATTACAATTTTATTGTTATTAGATGCCACGAGTGAATCGCCTTCCTTCAATTCCGCGAGACAGTGAACATTCTTTTTTCTCAGTCTGAGATCGAATTTACGTAGAGTCACGCTAATACGTTATAATCAAAGCGAGAATGTAAATTGCTTGCCACTCTAAATTAACGGAGATTCCCCTTGAGAAATAAATATTTTTAGAATGGATTTTCCTATTTAGGTACAAACAGTTTCGTCAATGCAATGCTGTCTTGCCGACATTGTCACTGTTCGTTAAAAAGAAACACATTATTTAGCACATTATTATAGTTAACAAATATTAATCAATTTTAGAACTGAGTGATAAATGTGAGGACATAGAAAATGATCTCGCATTTTTTCATCTTCAAGTTCTATATTCGAATAACTTGCAAATATCTCTGCTATAATAAAAAGTATTTTTATAGCGATAAGCATTTTTATAGTGAGCTATACAGCTTGCGATTACATTGAAATCTGAGACGAACGGTAACACGGTTACTCAATGTGTCCTAAAAAGAGAGATGGTATTTTGCAAATAAATATTGTCATAAATAGCTATTAAAAGTTTTCTATTCAAGTAAACAATAGACAACTTTCATTTCCCTTTCCAGACCGTTTTCCCACCGTTGTAAAAATACATTTGGAATTGTTCCTCCAATAGAATAATACATTCATATAAAAATTTTATTTTACTATTCAGCATATGTTATTTTAAAAGCACTTATACGCAATATACGTGGTATTGAAATTATCGACTGGGAAGTGGTAGAAATATTATTTATTTTAGATAAAATTCACTTATTATATAATTAACAAACAGAAATATTTACTTCTCTATGGTTGTTTACAATAATTGATTAAATTTTAAATGTAGCGAATAATCGAGTTTGAATCTACACTGAATATCCAAGCAGTTCAATGATCAACGTTTTAATAGAAAGGTGAACTGATTTTATTTACAATCGTTGTTGATTGCGCTTCGCGCACTAGCAATCCTATATATTCAATGGTAAATGCAAATTCAATTGGAATATTATTTGACAATAATCAATGAACTTTGAAACACTTTTCAAAATACATTTCGGAAAATTATCGAAAAGACCAATTAAGATCGATAAAATTTACTAATCCTTACTTAATATTAGTAAGTTTGATATAGGTCTAGTATTCAAATATTATTCGTAATACATTTGAAATCAGAGTGGTTTTTAATGGTTGTTTTACTTGGTTTATTTGGAAGTGGTTTGCTCTCTGCAAATTTTAATAAGTCTTACTTAAAATAAATTATTATCCATAAATATTAATCAATAATAATGCTGTATTTTTGCAACATATCATTATTTTCAATTTAGAAATAGCTTCACACTCTTTTAATCAATACATTGACACCTAATCAACTAGACTAAGCATGTAAAAGGTTGAGTATGTCTATTCGTCAATAATTGCAAATATGGGCAAAACCACAAAACTTTTAACATTCAGAGTATTGTAAGACATTATCAAATTATATTAAAGCTAAAAATTTTATGTATTTGGAAAATTTTTTTCAGTTTTCTATGTAGAAATGACATATTTTTTATTAAATTAGATATATCTAAATATACTTTTGAAAGCTATAAAAAAAAGGAAAATTGAAAAATTATTAACACGTCTGCGTATTTCAAAAAAAAATTTTAATATTTTAACGATTTTTCTAAGATACACCTTTGAATTTCGTTATTCTACTGCCGATGTCGGATATTTTCCATACAGTGTAGCAATACTTATAATGTGACAATCGTGGTATGGAAGTTTTATAGTACTAATTTACGTATTTTTTTGTCATTTTTAATTATACATGGCATTTAATTATACAGCGCCTCCTCATCTATCGAAAAATTGGCTCCATATACTTTTTTCAATCTAAAATGAAAAAAGTTATACATGAAATGTGGTAGGTGCGCTATCAATAACATACATACGGTTGCTATTACACAATAATTATTTCAAACATAATCGAAGAGAAAAATTTGGTTTTTGTAACAGCACGCAAAATCAATGGAATATTTCTACAATCTATTAAGCGTAATTTGAAATGCATGGTAGGTATAGTTCTAGGAAAAAAGCACATTAAAACTCAATGCATAAGTCAAAGTAATTTTCTTAAGAATATTTGCAGATTTTCATAAATATAACTTTGAATATGTAGAAAATGTGTCACGTATATTTTATCCATTTTTGCAAAGGTAGCCTCAGCTTTCAACTAAAACAAAAAGAAATATATATTCAAATATTTAAAGTATGAATAAAAATTTGAAGTAATTAAAACTCCGCGGACTTATTTATACGGCTATCCAATAACTTCGCTATAAAAAAATAAACATGTTCCTCTTGGTTAATCACATTAATTATAGACGTTTCATCAACATGTAAATAAAGTATACGAGCGAGCTTCAGTCGCTTCTGTGTTGTCTGTCAAGCTGTGTACTTGTGACCAGTGCTGTAGTATATTAATAATGGCAACTATGCAGCTGTAAATAGATTATTGATTTTCATTATTGATGTGATAAACAGTTGCATTAGTCATCTTAGATAAATAAAGAAAATGATTTTTCAGAGGGTCTTAAAGAAATGTTGATGTCATCATAACAAAAACTACTGTTTTCGAAATAAATAAGTTGTTAAACGATCATTAATGTATTTAAAAAAATTGTTTATTAAATGTTTATTTTCATAATATTAACGTTATAACTTTTACGCTCCACTAAAAATATGAGTGACGCACATTAAATGATCATCCTGAATGGTAATAGAATGTACTTAACAAAGCTTATAAGTGTGCTCTCAAAAAATTTTAATTTTAATATAATTTAAAAATTTGTTTTAATTATCAAAAGTTTTGTGAATTTGCCTATACATGAATTTTCTCACTTATTAAAGAAAGTCAAGTCTGAAAATCCGATTGGAATATAGTTCATGACATGCCGTGTGGAATCTATCGCGGGATATTTTATTTCACTTATCAATCGAATAAGTAGCCATAAGATCAATTTTATCGTTATGACAACTCTATTGCCAACCTCGCACTGGCTGGCAATAAAGTTATCAAGGCTGAAGTCACGAGTAGTGCCAGGTTTAAGAAAATAGCATCATAATTTTTAATAA